AACAAAATAGTTACTTCGTCTTTTTACAAAGAAACAAATCCTTTACACAAACGTGTTTTGTTTTGGTAGGTTTGAACTGAAAACAGCTAAAATTTTCATCTTTAATTTTATCCCTAATTTTAAGTCTGTATCCTACATGTCTCGGTTGACTGAAAAGATAAATAAGAATAAGATGCAAAGCGACACGCATCCTTTAAACTGTTTATTTGATCTGACAGAAGGAAGTGTTTGTTTATCCAAAGCGCCAAACCTTCATCACAGGCGACTGATATAAGTTGCAAGTTCAATCGTACGGTCATGTGGGACTTGTACCGTAGCTTTTTAGAAGGCTATGATTTTGGATTCTTCATTTTGGAAAGATTATCAACAGAAGTTCGTAAATCATGGTCATTTTGATCTCAGATAATTATTGTTATAGCTGTTAGTTATATTGTCCCGCATTTTAGTTTTCACTCTCTTTTTACTAAAACTTGTATCATCCTTTTTATTAAGGTTAAACAGAGGAGATGTTATTTTTAAAGTGTGAGAACTGGGATGATCTCTGATAGAATGCCTTTGCTGACTTGAAAACTAACGACAGAAAAAAGTAAGTCCAGATGGTGCTTATTGTTTTATTACATTCATTTTAAAAACACTGGTGAGCCTTGCAATCTGATTGGCTCTCATCGGTACGATTTATTCAAGAGTTCCACCATCTTTGGCTTTAAATCGTATCTATTTAACAGCCAATGTGAAAGCTTTACACAAAAAACCCGATCAGATTTTTAGATTCCTAAAGAGTAACCTACCAACTGCATAAAATACAGTACAAATAACTCGCGAATAGACTACAAATATCCTGCGATACTGTACGGTTATTTAGACAGTTGGTTATTTTGTGCTGTAAAATAACTTGAGTAACCAGTTGGCTGCGCGCACTACGCTTAACTATCCGCTTTACTTTTCCCGCTTTATGAGAAATGATCACAAAGACAGCAGAAAAAAAAAGCGGTTAGACGTTTTGGTGTGTGGTATCGCTGAGTATTTTAACGAGTTGTGCCGTATTTTGACGAGCCTGCATCTTTGGAATCTTTTTTTTTAAACTAGCCTAGTACGAGGTCAATAAAATATATATTTATTTTGGCTGAAAAATGACAAATTCCGACCCAAGACAAATTTCAATATTGGTGAGAAGGCCTCAAACAATACCCAAATTGTGTTTGTATTGTTGTCATACTGTGTATAATAACGTTGTAATGTAGCTCATTCAATTTTGTTTATTCATCTCTTCACAGATTTCATGAAACATGACCACAACAAGAAAAAAATTGTCATCCTTGGAAGGAAAGAAAAAGTGGGAGTCGATCCGCCACCGTCCCCCACCACACCCGCCTCTTATAGAGAGATTTTTAAGTATTGGGTATAAGTTGTCTACCTTGTGGTAAAAACACCTGTCTAATACGCAGGTGTATTATGACAGAAGTTTAGTTATTCAAAACGCATGCGTTTGAAATGAATGCTATTACCACAAGGTAGAGAACTTTTCAAATACTTATCAAAACTGGAAAATAGTGGTGGGTGTGGTGGGGGATGGAGGGCGGATACAATTTGTCTCCTCCATCCCTAGTCTGTTGAAGACAATAAATCACGACAATTTAAAAATTGCTGTATTCTGTCATATTCAGAAGCTCAGATAGTAAGAATTACCTACTAACCAGCTTCACGGTATTATTACAATATTAGAGTCCCAGAAACAACAACATCAAAGCTATCAGCGTAAAGTACAAGTCGAGAAAGTGAAATATCCTTCAATGTTTCCTTCCTTTCCACATTAATACTCTCTCGGCCTTTCTTTCTTTCTTTCTTGTTTCCTTGCAATCTGAATGAAAGAGAAGAAATACGAGTCAGCAGCTTTCGAAATTGCCTCTCTATCGCACCACAGGGTAATATAAGCTCTTTCTCGGTGTCTTTATTGCAGTACCAAACCCCTCATGAACACTACGCGCGAAGAGTGCGAAAAAAAAGAAAAAAAAGGGTAGGCCTGCCAACTGTGTGCACTACCTGCTGCTGAGAAAATTAAAATAAAATAAATCAACAAACCTTTGGTAGGACGGTATACCAGAACCTAGTAGTTTAATACGTAATTAACTCAAATAAACGGACAGTCAGTCAGTCAGCCTATCTATCAGTCAGTAAGTCCATCACACCGGCAGTCAGTCGATTTGGTCAGTCACACCACCAGTTAGTCGATAGGGAGTTTAAGAAAACCACGACGCCACCGCCACCGCCACCGGCAACGAGAACTTCACTAAACAAATGGTTTAATAAGCAGAATAATGGCTGTACAGGTGCATTATAAATCTTTGTAAATTTCTTTGCGTCCTCTGCAAAACAACAACGTGAAATAACCAAACTTTCCGTTGTCTCGATAACGTGACCGACGACGGCGTGCTTTTCAAATCTATATCTCTAATTTAAGGCTGTGCTCTATAATCAGTTTCGAGATACTTTTGCAATGAGAAACAAACTAAATGCCTTTTAAGTGCCGCAAGATTCGTAGATAAAATATAAGTTCATTTTTTAACCAACGTTGTCCACGGCGTCGCCGTCGTCGTTTCTTAAACTCCCTAATCATTTAATCTGACATAGATCAGTCAGTTGATCAATCACAGAATAAGTCAGCCAGTCTGCAGTCTCGCCATACAGCCAGCAGTCAGTCCAACAGTCAGTTGACGAGTCAATCAGTCAGTCATCCAGTCAATGTGTCTGTCCTTCAGTCAACCATCCAGTTCAAAAGTTCCCTGATCCCTGATTTACTAGATCACCCAATTTGTCATACCGTCATAGAGTTCACCAGTTGGTCAACTGAGTAGTCAGTCCATCAGTCAGTCAATCCATTCCAGCCATATGGCCAGACATTCAGTTGATCAGCAAGTCAGTCCCTTAGTAAGTCAGTCAGTCAGTCAGTCAATGAGCCAGTCACATAGATAGTAAACCAGTCATTCAGTTCTTCAATCCAACAATCTGTAAATCAGTGAGTTATTCAGTCAGCATTCAAGTTCATTAGTCAATCACTGGTTGCTCAATCCATCACTCAGTCATTTCACAGATTGGTCCATCATTAGTCAGTCACTCACTCAATCACTTATTCAGCAACCCAGTCTATGAGTCAGTGAAACAGGCATTGTGTCATTCCATCCAGAAGAAACTCAGCTAATTGCCCAGCTAATTACCTACTAGTTGGTCAGTCAGTCCATCCCTTAGTCAGGCCATTATCACCTACATAATTATTCTACCTGCTGGTCACTTAAGTCATCAGTCGGTTGACTGGTCAGTCTATCAGAGAGTCAGTAGGTCAGTTATTCAGTCAGCCATTCATTTAAATAGTTGGCAATTGGTCAGTCTTACTTTGAAAGTCCCTCAATACATTTTGTAAGACAATACATAAGTCAGTCAACCTGTCAGTCAGTAAGTCAATCAGTTATTTTGTTGGCCAGTCTTTTTAAAGTTGGTTCAAATATCAATGAGTTGGTCCATGGCTTAATCAGTCTCACAGAACATCAATCAGTCAGTCAGTCAGTCAGCTAATCAATCAGTAAGTTAATCCATTGGTCAGTTAATCAATCAGTCAGAAGGCCACAAATTCTCATAGTCTGTCTGCTAATTGGACATTCAGTAACTCAGTCATTCAATCAGTCAATTAGTTTTTACATCAGCCAATCTATTTATCAGTTGGTCAAATAATCAATCAGTCAGTCAATGGTTTAGTCAGCCCCACAATAAGTCAATCAGTCAGTCGATCAGTCAGTCAGTCAGTCAGTCAGTCAGTCAGTCAGTCAGTCAGTCAGTTAATCAAACAGCCAGTGGTTTATTAGGTCATGCAGTCAACTAGCTAATCAGACAGTCAGTATGTCAACCAACCAATCGGTCAGTCCAGCTTTCAGTTGATCAGTCCCTTCACCAGCTCAATGGTTAGCCAGCAAGCCTCTTGTCAAATCAGTAAGTCTGTCATTCATTTACCCAATAAAATGATTAATCATAAATCAGTCAAAAGTTACAGGCAAGATGAAGTCAGTCACCAATCTTGTTTGTTTGTAAATAAAGTCAATCAGTGACAACATTCATGTTATGTAAAACATACAAAA